TCCTTTTTATATAAAAAGGATAGCCGTCCTCTGTTTTACAAGGTGTCATTTTTCCTCTTCTTTTTCACCGTGTTTTCATCATTGTCATTTACAGATCTTGCACAGTCTGCACTGAATGTTTTCTTGACGCTGTTGAATGAAAAGGATTCCCCAGCGGTCACCGACTTGATAGTATTGGCACACTCTTGTGTTTTGACGGTTAATGGATGTGCTGCTGCTGCTTATACGGCCTCTATCCAGCACTTTGATGGTGAGTCCGTTTTGAGTTTATGCGGCTACCTTACTCTAAATTTGCAAACTTTTTTCTATTCTTTCTGTAATTTTACACTGCAGATGTCAATGAACAGTGTCATCTTGTGGTACGTACAGCAAGGGAAGCCTTCGCCTCTCAGGTTCTGAACATTGAACAGTTGAAGACGGAAGCAAAGAAACTCCAGGAAATGATGACTGGATTGCCTCTACAAACAGATGTGGACAAGGTCAGTCGGCCTGCACAATTGTTTTCTTCTAGTGAACTTCGTGCTCGTCTAAGGTAGTTTTTCATAAGCCATAGAACGGGCTTTGCTTTGGTTACCATGAATGGAATTAGTTGTTGCTCAAGTAATTGGTGTTCGTGCTCCCTTATGCAAGTGGTCGAGCCCCAAAGCTAAGTGACTGTCCCACTCGACTTCCAAAGAGAGTGAGGAGGGTGCTACAGCCATCGAAACTTCTATAGGTGACACCCGCTTGGACCGCCCTCCTAACAAAGGTTCTTTTTACACTTAATTGCGCATTTGTAGTTTGTTGTAGCGGTGGGCCTAAATCTAAACTGCACTTGCATTTTCACCGTCCACACTCTGCTTATGAACAAGTATGAGCGAAGTATGCTCTGACAGTGACAGGAAATGATTCACTTCACCTGAGGTGGTAAATAAAAGTTTTTGAATGAAGTAGTTTTCCGAAGCTTATTGAGCATCTACTTAGTGGAGGTCAGTATAGCGAAATTACTACGAATGTGTTGTTTGTACGAGGTACTGATAACAATTTTTTGAAGAGCAAATTATTAGAGGGGTGGTAGTGTTTGATCCTCTCACAAGTGGGACCGCCTATATATCGTTTGAAGTACTTTGCCCAAAAATATGCTTGAAAGAAAGGTGTCCTGGTGAAAAGCGAAAAAGGTGAGGCTAGACTACACCCATTTTCTGCTCGTCTGTACATTGCCGGTATCAGCCAGACTACCAGAGCCATCTCATAGAACAACCAGTAGTAAGGGGGGGGGGATATGGTTGCTGCCAACTCTCCTTTCCAAGTGCCTTAGCAGCTGTGAATATGAACTTATGGCTAATGCAATCGTTGCAGGATATCGTTGGAGCTGAGCTTGAAAGTGAAATGATGCGTATGAGTGAAGCGATTCGTGCAGCTGTGGAAGAAATTGAAAAGATTCAAGAGAGGGCACGTATCAATACGGAGGGAATTAGGTAAGATTTGTGCATCTTTGTTTCATAAGCTCCAATAGTAAACTAGCGGACTTTTTGAGGTTATGCTTGTGCATGACAAAATAAGTATATGGTGTTTGTTGTCAGGCGGCGTTCATACTTTGCGTCAGCGCACGCCAGCGTTTCGATCCTAAGAAAGTATGGATATCGATCTAGCGTTCCGAGTTTTGCTCAAGTTC